TGTGGGTGTGGGTGGGTGTGGGTGTGGGTGGGTGTGGGTGGGTGTGGGTGTTGGTGTAGGTGTGGGTGTGGCGTGTGTGGGTGTGGCTGTGGCTGTGGCTGGGGTGTGGGGTGGGACTACGTGTTTTGTATTCACACGTAGTACACCTACACCCATACCTGCGCACACCCGCCCCCACACTCACCCCCACCCCCACAACCCACTTTCCATTCGTTGTATGGTGACAATCATAAGTGATGTTCGCGTCAATGCAAGGGTTTTCTCGGACGTTCTATCGATTAAAATGTGTATTTGAAGGACTCCGAGCTTTATGCCACCGATAAATAAACTGTGGAAGCAGATAACCCATTTTCTCACCAGTCATGTTTCAGGAGATGTATGCTTTCCTCTCGTACACCATGTAGCTGTTGAAGACCGATGGGTAGCCCCTATTGCAGGAAGCGAGGACTTGAGGGTACCATGAATGGTAAAGTTGAGGACCCAAGGGTATGTCCCAATAGTAGAAATTGAGGACCCGAGAGTACCCTCTAACAGTAGGAATTGAAGACATAAGGGTACCTCCCCCATATTAGGACTTGAGTACCAAAGGGTCCCCCGAATAGTAGGACTTCAGGACTCAAGAATGCTTGGTTACGGAAGACACTTACCTTACCGTTACCACGGCTACCGAGTAACGGGTAACGTGTTGGTGTGGGCCAAGAGAAGATTTAAATCCACAGCTTAACCCGATCACACTCACACCCACACCCTCGATGATGATTGGGATCAGGTTGTAACGCGTCGCTGTCAAAATGCAACTATCTACTAATTCTTATTTTTATGTTATTTCATGAATATGTTGGAATGAACAAAAATAGAAAGGTTGAAAGTTGTTTTGTAACTGTAAGTTTTTTATCTGTTGGTGATAATCCCAGCTATAATAGTAACGATGACGACTGTCAGTGATATGCCCTTAATTCGCAGTCCGGAATTGCAATAATCGGTATTACAACACGAAAAGTATACTACTTGGACATTGGTGGTATCATTTGGAGAAATGTCACATATATATCTCCTTATAATGGAACGTGTTGTGAGTGACAGACCATTGCTCACTGCGACGGCTTTCTGTTAATAGAAAGAACAACATTATCTGAGACAAAAGTATCAACAATCAACATAGCTTACAGCGCACGAATAGTAAGAATCAGGGGCCATGCTTAAGGTAGTAACAAGAGATGAATTAGCTGAGAAAGGATCAGCACAACCAACCGATATACTTTGACAATTATAACATGTGAGACTGCCAACCTTAGTGATCACTAAAATGAACCGTTATGTGTCGAAATCGATGCAATTTTACTTACTGAAAACAAATGCGATAACAGCCAGAGAGAAGAAAGTGGTTCCCATTCTCACTGCAGTTGATTATTGATGTAAATTGTATGATTGAATCTTAAGTAGTTATATTTATAAGGTTCATCCGAACAATAGACTTTAACTGGCCGGAAGTTGCCATGGTAATCAGCTCTCGTAGAAAATTTTATTTGTAAGAAAAAACACAGCAGCAACAATTTTCTCATATATGTCAAACTTGAAATAAAGTTTTCAACTATTCAGTTCAAGACTTCGTGTGGAGGGGAATGGAAGGAATGACTGACACCACGTTTCTCTCGATGTGAGTGGAGAATAGTGGAATACTTGAATAGCTGAACTGAATGCTTGAGTCGTTGAGATGATAGTTGAATACTTCAATGCGAGTTTCAAGTTTGACATTACGGTGTATATTTTAAACTTGAAACTAGCGGATGAGTCATAATGAATGAGCCTCTCAGCATTTTCCATATAGTTCACTTATATTTCAGTGTTTAAGAAAAACATTTTTTAGCAAAAGATTCCTCGTTAAATTCTCTACAAAATCTAGATAGTTTTATTATCTTAAATAATCTCCATCATTTTGTGATATACGATACAATCGATTCGTCCAAGAAGTACAACTTTCAAACACAATATCTTTTCGAATTTTTTTCACTGCTTTTTCTAACTCTTGGATCATTGTTGCTTTAGATGTCACTTTATTCCAGTTGATGACACTCACAAATTCATCCCAAATACAGTAGTCCAATGGATTGAGATCAGGACTATTAGGTGGTCAATGATCTTTATCGATAAATGCTGGAACATTGTCATGACACCATTGTTGTATTAAACGATGAATATGGGGTTTAGCACCGTCTTGTTAGAATGTCCAGTCATTCCCGAAATCGTGATTTCCATATTTAAGTGCCACAGGAAGCACCTCTTTAATGTATCGTCAAGGTCGATTGTACCTTGATCAATTATCGCCAATGGAGATACACCTTTTGAAGAAACATCAAGCCAAACCATGACTTTCTGAGGAAATATTTTTTCTCATGAATACCACCTTTCTTATTAGCTTCATCACGATTTATAGCCCAAATACGATCGTTTTGGGTATTGTAAACTCCATCAATGTTCAACAACTTTTCGTCAGAAAACAGAATTTTCAGTGTTTCCTGCTTTCGTATCCAGTGAGCAAACTTTTTCTATTTTCTTTGTGTTTCTGGGTAAGTGCTGCTTCGACCAAATCTTTATACAATTGACAGCCCAGATCATCGCAAAGAATTCTTTGAGCACTTGTTTGAGATATATCTAGTTCAAGTACAAGTTTTCTAGTTGATACCTTATTTTACTGTAGTTTCTGGTTGGATTTTTTGATAGCAGCTTTAGTTGGAGCTGTACGTGGATGACCTGATGATAATGATAAATTCATAGAACCAGTTTCATCGATCATTTTGTACAATCTTTTAATCGTTGCTAAACTAATTGCTCCATTCAGATGTCGAAAAACTTTCGTCGGATAATCACCATTTTGATGTTTCAAGGCTACCACTTTCTGTAAATCTTCGCTTTTCATTATGCGAAAACTGAACCTCTTGCAAAAAATGTTGAGAAATAAAAAATAATGATTGTGAGAATTTTCCACCATTTATCGATAAAGATCATTGACCACCTAATAGTCCTGATCTCAATCCATTGAATTACTGTATTTGGGATGAATTTGTGCGTGTCATCAACTGGAATAAAGTGACATATAAAGCAACAATGATTCAAGAATTAGAAAAAGTAGTGAAAAAAATTCGAAAAGATGTTGTGTTTGAAAGTTGTAATTCTTGGACGAATCGATCGTATCGTATATCACAAAATGATGGAGATTATTTAAGATAATAAAAATATCTAGATTTTGTAGAGAATTTAACGAGGAATCTTTTGCTAAAAAATGCTTTTCTTAAACACTGAAATATGAGAGAAATATATGGAAAATGCTGGGAGGCTCATTCATTATGGCTCACCCGTTAGAATTCAATTATTGGATTCCAGTTCTACTATTCAAATCTTCAGTTCAACTGCGCGAGAAGTCAAGTATTCAACTTTTAATTAACCGAGTAATAACCACAGTTCTTTAGACGTGGCAGCCGACAAACAGCTGCCAATACGTCTTTCTCAATGTGTGTTTCATGCAAGAATTCAACTCACCTCACTCTCACTGTGGATGCGGGAAAGCATTCCTACCTCGTCTCTCTTGATGTGGATGTGGAGAAAGGCCTTTATCGAAAATTGTAAAGGTTTAATACGTGAATGCTTGAATAGTTGAATATCTGAATAGTTGAATACCTGAATACGTGAATACTTGAAGTGTACTTCAATGATTGAATTCAAGTTTGACGGTAGTGAATAATGTTCGGGATATCATACAGAACAGTACGTAAAATGATTAAACTAATCGCAAATGCTCTATCAATCACTCCAAACGAGATCCGCACTGTAAAAAAAAAGGTTTATTATGAAACCTGCGCCCGTGCTGAGATCCTGTAAGCTGTCGTATCGATTTACAAAATCGTAAAAAGTTCAGCAAATGGTTTTCTGATCGTTTTTAGGTTCGGTATATCAATACGAAACCTTCCAGGATCTCAGCGCGGGCGCAGGTTTCATAGTAAACCTATTTTTTTTTACAGTACTGTTCTTGTTTGATATTGAAACGCTTGCAGACGCATTTTATATAAGCATGCTCACTTGAAAATGTTTAGATTCGCTTCATTTGTATTCATTTCGCCAACAAAACGTGAATGAATTTCAAAACTGTTTAAACATGACTATTCGTTGAAAGATATTTCAATGCATTTATATCAGTAATAAAACTGAACCGCGTTTAAATCTAGAATGTGTTCAGACGCGTTTACCCGATTAGAGGCGCCACGACGCATTTATACACTGCGTTTGGACACATTCCTTTACTACTAGTTTCGGGTGTGTGGGTGTGAGGGTGTGGGCGTGGGTGTGGGTGTGTGGGTGTGGGTGGGTGTGGGTGTGGGTGTGGGTGAGTATGATGTATGGGTGTGTGAGTGTGGGTGGGTATGAGGTGTAGGTGTGGGTGGGTATGAGGTGTAGGTGTGGGTGGGGGTGGGGGTGGGGGTGGGGGTGGGGGTGGGGGTGGGGGTGGGTGAGTAAAATAAACATCCACACCCACACCCACACCCACACACCCCAGCCACCCACATCCACACACCCACACCCACACCCGCACCCGCACCCAATCCACACCCACACGCACACCCTAATGTTGCTCTAAAGCAGAATTACGAATATGTCAGGCTGAAGTATGAAGCTACTCAGTCGCCGATAAAAGTTATTACAGAGTGAAGAAATTTTATTAGAGAGCATATGATTATTTGATTTACAAAAGTGCAGCTTATTAGCCAAATTGTTCTAATTTTTCATTTCTCTGTAAGTACATTTTTCGAAATGTTTATCCAGTGACTTAAAAAATTAAAGAAATTATGATTTTTCGAGAATTTTGTTGTGGAAAAACATGGTGTTCTAGATGATGAAATGGACATATTCTTAGATATCTTTAAATTTCATTCATTAAAATGATACTTTTAACCAACTAACTTAAAACGAAATCAAAGAATATGTTTGTTTCGTCGTCTGAAATGTTTTTTTTTCTTCATTTTTCTGACATAGAATTCTCGAAAGTTATCAATTTCTTCTTATCTCTTAAGTCATTGGATGGACTTCGATTG